CAGAGCTGTGAAGAGAATACTGAATCCCCTTGTGGTGCCTCAGGTGGTTGAAGGCATGCACCTGTGTTAGACAGTCCTCGTGCAGTGACCATGGTCCTCCACTGGCACTGCTGGCACTGCTGGCACCGTGGTGTGCATGAAGGTGGCAGACAGCCCCCTCTCCTGAGGTCAGGAGGGTTGCCCTGGAATGGCACATGTCCAGTACATAGGGAAGGGCTAATATTTGAGTGCAGAAGCTAAAGACCTGTAGGCTGGCCCTTATTTCGAGTCCAGCCAGAACTCGAGATGGCTGGTATTTAAAAAAAATTAAGTTTTTGGTTTTTTTTTTTTTTTTTGTTTTTTTTTTTTTTTTTTTTTTTTTTAACAGCAAGAAAGCATCTTTGGATCCCAGCTGGGTCCAAGGGCTGGTGAGACGTGAGGGTATATGTGTACCACCGCCCTTTATCTGGATTTTTCCATTCTCTGAGGTATCTCAACCCTCCGTCTGCCCAAGATAATGGAGAGGCAGCCAAAATGGCATTTTAAACTCTTGGCTCCCTCTACCAACAATTGGACAAAGCAAAGAGGCAGGATGGGAGAAACTGGCTTTCTGGAAACTTCTGTTAGATGGCAAGGGGTCACACCCCCTTCAATAGAGATTGGAGTCGGGGGTCATTTTACATCTGCCTTTAATGAAGAATGGTGGGAAGGGAAATTTAGCTCCGATGAGCTAATTAAATATATATGTATATTTCCACTCTGTTAGCAAGGGGAAAAAAAAGCCTTGGACCAGCTGCTAGGTCATTGTTTGTGAATTTAAAAATAAAAGTTTCTTGGCATAGGTTTCAGAGATGGAGGCAGTATCTTGCGTTGTCATTCCATAGAGTAAGGGAGAGTGAGGGAAAGAAGGATGAGGCCAGGCAAGGATAGTTCAGCATGATTACGTGTTGCTCAGGTGTGTCTTGGCTTTTGAGCCTCTTTTCCCTCTGGCTGGTTTAGGTAATCAACATCCTGCCCAGATGGTGAGCCTCAACAGGGACAGATTTACAGGTCCCACACCCTAAAGAGGCTGGAAATATCCTGCTGTGGGGGTGGCTCATGCGTGGCAGTGCCATGAGCACAGGCAGGCTCACCTGGGACCCTCACCCCATATAAGCTCCATTTCAGCTCAGGTACCTGCTCCTGAGCTCTGTTAGAGGTGTATTTGTCCCCAGCCTCCTTCTCAGCTGTCCTGGATCCTGACTGGTTGTTCCAAGTGGACTCCAGTCTTTAGCTGGTGGCTTGGTGTCCAGGATGCCCCTTGGGCCTGCGCTGCAGCCTTGTCTGCAGCCCTGTCTCCTGCTGCTCCTGACAGTATCTTCCCTCGCCTAAGGCTGGGACTGGAATTTCTCCCTGTTGTCACCTTGGTGGTGCTGATCACTTGTTGGACATGTTGGGCTTGTGCTTGGCCTGAGCTGAGCTCTCCTCAGTCCTGAGCTGGGCTGGATCCTGGTCCTGGGCTATGTGTGACCCAGACCCACACCTCCTTCTTGGGGGAAGGCCATGGACCTTGCACCCCACTGCTTCCCTAGTGACTTAGGGCACTACTGCACCCCTTTTTCTGTCCCTGTGCCTTCTCAACACTGGATTTCCCATGTCCCTTCCCACTCCCTGGCTCTCCACAGTGGGGCCTTGGCACCCCTCCCCATGTCTGCCTGCCTCTGGGAGCCTTTTCTCATCTTTGTGTCTCTGAAGCACAGTCATGTGCCTGCACTGCTTCCAAGTTATGATCCCACTCTGGCTCCAAATTCCCTGTCCCTGCACTGTGACCTTAAACTTGTCCTGTGCCACCATCCTCACCCAGTTCCATGACCCTGCTGTGTGTTATCCAGTGTTTCACAAGGAGCCATCCTTGGAGCCCAGACCTCCACGAGGTGTGAGAGCACACCTGGATGTTACACTCCGTTTGGCCCAGCTGTGCTGGAGGGACATCCATGCCTGCTCCTGTCCTGGCTGTCCTGGCGTCCTGGGCAGTTTTCCTAGGCAGACCTGACACCTGCTTTGTGGGTCACTTCATTGCCAGCCTCATCTCTGCCTCTGCTTACGTACTGAGGAGCTACACCTGGACCAGGGGGTCACACCTGGGCTGGAGTCACACCTGCAGTGTCCCCTCCTGTGGAGCAGCCCTCTCCTTGCAGGTGGCAAGCCAGACCACGGTAGGAAGCCTCCTCTCCAGGAGCCTTGGTGCTGGATTTTCCCTTCCCACCCTGCTGCATCCACTAGTCTGATGTTTTCTGGCAGCAGCTGCACATGGAACTGGAGACCTGAACTTTTCCATTCCCCAGCCTCCAGTCCTGCCAATCCCTCCGAGCTGGGAATGGGCACTAAACTCAGTCTCCAGCAGCAAAGGGGTCCCAGCTCTCCCTCTCACTTGCTGAGCCCCCTGTGCTGTTCCTTCTTTCTGAGAGGGAAGGAAGGGAAGCATTTCTCTGTGCCCCAGTGGGTGCAGCCCTGCTTGGCTTCTCTGCAGGCTCACACTGTGTTGGTGGGCTGTGGCTGCTCTCCCCTTCCCTGTGAGCCCTCTCCTGTCCCAGCAATGGCCCTGGCACACTCGCTGTTCTGCCATTCTGAAGACCCTGTCCCTGAGTGCTTGGCAAAAGGGAAATTAGCAATAATAATAATAAAAAAAAAGACTCATAATCCTCCCAGACATATTATGCAGCCAGGGAAAGAGAGCAAAGCAGGGAGGGCCTGGCTTGCCTCAAAGTCCCGTTCCACCTGCTTGTCAACTCAGTGACCAAGCTGGGGAGGGTCAGAGGAAGCTCTTGGGAGACACTGTTTGAAGCCAAAGGAGGGTGAGAAAAGTTTTCCTTGCTTTTGAGTCAATGTCCCAGCCCACCTGCCTGGATTCCACTATTGGAAAAGATCTCTGCACCTCCAGACACCCCACAGACATGCTGGAAAGCTGGAGTTAGCTGCTGGTGTCCATCTTTGTGCAGAAAATGCTGCTGGCCCATGCTTCCCTTTCCACTGACCCCGAGCGATGTGGTCAGGAGCAGTCTAGGCTTTTTTCCTCTCCAGGAGCAGGGCTGAGAGGATTCCCATGTGTGCACTTAAGACATGTCTGTTTGTCAAGAGGTGTTGGCTCCCTCCTCACTGTGGTTGTGGGAAGGCCTTTTTGTTTAAAAAAGAAAACAAATGAATAGATTCCCCTGACACCCAGACTTATCAGGCAGGAACCCAAGGGAGTCCCTTGTTTAAACATCAGGAGTACATTGCTGGATAACACCCCTCCTCTCCCTCCCCCGCCCCGGGCATTTTTGGGGGTTGTGTCAGGCTTTTTTCTGACTTTATTTGTTCTTTCTGAGCTTCTTGCTTCTGGCTGGGCCTACCTGGAGGAAGTGGGAGGAAAGTGAGGGTCCTACAGGCTTGAGTTTCTGGGCTGGAACAGAGCAGGGGCAGCGCTGCTCTGGGGACTTGCCGTGGCAGAGCTGTAGGAGGGGATGCCATGAGCAGATGGAAACATATGGACAGTGCCTGGGGCAGGTCAGGGCCATGACATGAGCAGGCTGAAGTGGGAGAGAAGGTTTCCCCTCTCCTGATCTTAAGGTTTCCCTCCCTTTTCTGCACATCTAAGCTGGTGAGGAAAAAACCAGTGTGGTCCCCTCCTCCCTGTCTTACAAAAACAGAGACTAGAGTCAAACTTGGAATTCCCCTCTGTCTCATCACTGGGGAGACAGGGTCCTGGTGGTGATCTCACCCCATCAGAAACCTTTCTGTGCATAAGGCTAAGCAAGCAATGAAGAGGGAGGACGGGGAGGAGGGGAGTTATGGCAGGAAACCAAGAACACATCAGACACTCTAAATTTAGATCTTTTTATTCAGCTCGGACAATATTCCTTGATTTCTCATTGTTCAGGAGAGGGCAGAGGGCAGGGGATCTATTGAAAGGCTTTGTCCTGAGAGATGCCACTTTGTCTGGATATAGGGGGGTGGAGGAGCCATACATCAGGCTGGTCTGGCATGGGGGAGAGGTGCATGTCCCACACTTCCAAATGGTTTGGGATGGGCTGGTGGGTGGGCACCTCTGGCACCTGTGAGGCAGAGCTCAGGGCTGCCCCCAGCCCCACACTGCCAGGCCAGGCGGGCAGCCATGAGCAGTGAGCGGTGCCTGTGCTTTGGGGCAGCTCCCGTGGCAGCGGGCGTCGGGCCCAGGGCGTGTAGGATAAACACACACCCTCTCTATACGTCTCGCTGCCTTTCCGGCACTGCAGCTCAAGGGCTATTTTTAAACTCCCTCCTTTATTACACAGGCCAGAAGATAGCGCGGCCTACCTCCTGCCAGGCCAGGCCTGCTGCTGTCCCACCCACCCAAAACCGGGGGTGAGCTGTCCCCCACAGGGCATGGCATGGGGGCACCCTGCCCAGTGCCAGGGGATGGGTGCAGGGTGGGCATGACCTCGCTGCTGTGCCCCACAGAGCATGAGGGGCACTCTGCCAGTGCCAGGGGTGAGCTGTGGGTGGGCATGACCTTGCTGCTATCCCCCACAGGGCATGGCATGGGGGCACCCTGCCCAGTGCCAGGGGATGGGTGCAGGGTGGGCATGACCTCGCTGCTGTCCCCCACAGTGCCAGGGATGGAATGTAGGGTGGGCATGACCTCACTGCTCTCTCCAGGCTCAGGCCACAGCAGGCCCAGCAAACTGGGGTGTCTGGCTGCACTTGTGCTGCTGGTACAAGGGTACTGCTGCAGGGTGTTTGGTCCCACTGTGTCTGTGGGATGTCAGCTTTGCTCAGGGCCTGCAGCTCAAGGGAGGTTAAATGAGCTGAAAGTCGGCTGCAGCATCACCAAACCCGCCTGCTGCTGGTGTCAGCACCACCAGCTGGGTGCAGGCGAGAGGACCAGCTCTTGCAGGTAGCACAAGCGGGGCTTTCTGCCCCGGCTGATGCCCTGACCCCCAGCCAGGAGCGCTCTGAGCGGGTTTTGCTCCGTGATGTGAGCAGCAGCAGCAGGTGGCATGGGCCGGGCGGGGGAGAGAGCTGCTTGCTTTTGGTTTTCGACCCTCATCTTCGTTTCACATGAGTCATGTTACGTTCTGAGCTGAGTAACTGCTGGGGCTATTTTTACTCCAGCTCAGCAAAGCTTCCTTCTCGCTGCCGCCACCGCCACTGCCGCTCGCTGTGGACCCGGGGGCAAAGGATGGGGACACGGTGAGTGGCACAGGGCGAGGGCAGGGGAAGCAGTGTTTGGGGTGGTGTCAGTGGAAAGGGGGACCGCTGCCCACCTAATCAATTTGGAAACAAAAATAGTAAATGCCTTTTGAAAAACAACAGATGACCTGCGATGTGTGGCGTATTCACACACACATACGTATGTATTTATTATACTGGGAGAGGGGAAGGGGGGAGGGAGAGAAATTCCTTTCGAGTGCTATTCACCAGTCTGGAAAAATAAAGAAGGAAAGCAGAACATTTTTTCCTTTCATCAAAACAGGAAAGAGAGGGGGAATGGGGTGGGGAGCAGATCCATAGACATAATGGATGGTTGCCAGTGTAAGGAAATTGTTCCCTTCTACCCTAAACTTGGGGGTTGGGGTGGGGGAGAAATATATGGCAGCATGATCAGAGAAGGCTGCATCCCCTCCTCCCCACTTGATGCAGGAACGTGTGTGCACACGGGAAAGTGCTGGGAAATCAGTGCCCCCCAGCCTTGCCTTTTCTCTTTGAATCCTGCTCGAGCTGCACATCCGCAGAGATGTGAAATGCTTTCGCCTTCTCCTTCATCCCAAAGCCCGGGGCAGGAAGGCACAGCCGACAGGAGCCCTCTCCCCTCTGCCGTTGTCAGGGGCTGGGCTCTGCCCTCTGCACTGTCTGCATGCTCGTATCCCTTCCCCATCCTCTCCTCTCTGCCAGGTTCCTGCCAGGGATGGGTGAGATGAGGGAGGTGGTGAGGGGCTGGGGGAATCCCTCTGACGGAGAGACAGGCAGAGGGGGTGGTTCCCAGGGAAAGCCTGGCAGGTCCCAGGTGTCACCTTCCCTTTCCCCTGGAGCCGCTGGCTCTGTCAGGGTTTTACTCATCCTTGGAAAGCATTTTCCCTGCCAGTGCCAGGGGCGGGAAGGCAAATTATGCAAGCCCTGGGTACCCTGAGGCTCTGCCTTTCTCCAGCCCCAAATACAAGCACCGAGCTCCGTGCCCGTCTCTGTCTCCTTCCTTTGGCCTCTCTTCTCCTTTCCTCCTTCTTCCTCCATCAAACCGAGCTCGGTCCTTGCTCAGGGAGGTCGGGGCAGCTCTCGTGTCAGCCCTCTGGGGCAAACGCTGTGTGACACAGCGTGAGCAGGGCGCAGTAACCCCGTCCCTGTCCCCTGGGACAGCCGGGACGAACCCCGCTCAGCCGGGGCTGGGTGTAACACCAACTCGCCCACAGAGCGGATCTCGGGTGTAAACGAGGCGTAAAACTCGCTCCAGGTGCCTCCTTTGCGTCTCCCCTCCATTGACGGCTGCGCCGGCAGCCCCAGGGCGTGGGCGCAGGGATTGCTCATCCTCCTCCCGAACCCCGGCACCCGAGCAGCAGCAGCACCTAAGTCAGATACCCTGAGTGGGCGGGCTGACTACACGTTGGCTGTCAACACCTCCTAATTTCTTTCCATTGATTGTTTTCAAAATAGGACTCATCATGGAGAGGCTGAGACACCTCAGCTGTTCAGACTGAGTCTTGCTTTCCATTGTAAGCCATGTTTTTCTTCCTGTTGTTTCATAATTCTCTACCTGCCCTCTCTGAAAAAAAGGTAATAAATTTTAAAAAAATCACCCCTCACTCCATGCTGCTGTGGATGGATGGTGGCTAGCACGATCATTTTTTCCATCAACACGAGATGAGGAGAGAGCAGCCTTGCAGCAAGGAACTGCCCATTGTCCTCAGACACGTGTGGCTCTCCTCCCTGGCGATAACTGAATAACCAGGGAGATGACTTCAGCTGTTTGCAGGCTTGAGAGCTGTAGTGGTGGGGAAAGTGTTTTAATAAGAAATCCTGGTGCAGGCTCTTAGGAAATCTTGTTTTGTTGTGGTTTGTCTGTGGGGCCATTGCCAGCTAGCGCAGTTGCAACCACATCTTGTCAAGTCGTGGTGCTCTGATGGGACATTTTTATGGTCCAGATGCTTCATGTAGCCTCAAAATACCTTCCCAATATATGCCATGGTGGCTTCAAACTCTTAACCTGTGGCACCTGGGACACCAATAGCCCCACAGGCCTCCATGCCCACCCCACAGGCCAGGTGAGAGGGAGATCCAGTTATCCCCATTAATTTTAGGGGTTTGAGGGACACATCTCAAACTAATTCCACAGAAGTAAGAGAATCAAGGGAGCCCCCAGCAGGCTCAAGGCACAGTAGTTTTAGGTGCATGCACCCCTGTCAAACTCAGTGCCAGTGAGACCAACCCACCCAGTCTAAAGACATCACTAGAGAAAAATCTCTCCCTGTCTTAAAAACAGAAAAACTGCTGAAGCCTGAGCAGCTTGAGTATCACTTTGCTCTATTTCCAGGCAGGGTTATAGGTAGATGATTAGTCAAATTCCAAACATCCTCTTCCTTGCTGTCTGAAGGTTCTACAGGGATTAGCTTTTTGTTTCTGATGTTGAGCTTCTAAAAACTGCCCAGCATCGTCCACATGAAAATAAATAACTCTATTTCTATCCCATCGAGCATGTAATAGAACCGGATATTCAAAAAAAAAAAAAAAAAAAAAGCACACCATATCTCCCCCAAAATCAGGCCCTGCAGCAGCTCTTGTTGCTACCAAGCAAGAAATTTGCAGCAGTCCCTGCTAGCTTTCTGCTGAGACCTTCTCCTCTCTGGCAGCAATATCTCTCGCTGCTGAGGAATTTGATCAGCCCTCCCACACGCAGGCTGTTCTGTCCTGGCCAGGAAGCCACTGCAGCGTGGGGGACTCCCCGCACAGGTGGCACCAGGCTGGTGGAGCCACCCCAGCTTGTTTGAGGGCAGAGATCCTCAAAAGGCACCTGGGCCTCCAGGGACCCCTTGGGCACCTTGAATACCTGACGGGGTCATGGGCATTCAGGAGCCAGCTGTCCCCAGAGCCCTCTACAGACACAGAAGGGCTTCTCAAATCCTCCCCTTTCCCCCTGCTGACTGCCAAGGAGCCCAAGGCTGCAGCATTTCTCTGGCTGGTGCCATTTGGAAAGAGGTGAAATGGACTGAGAGCCTTTTGAAACTCTTTTTCTTTGAAGGCCTCCAAAGATTTCAAAAGGTGTTTCAGCACCCAGGCGGACATCAGAGTTGCAGCTCCACCCCACTGGGGGGTTAGAGCCAAATTATCATCACTTGAAATGGCTGGTACGCTGCTGGCAGGCCAGGATGGAGAATGAGGGGAATTCTAAGAGCGTCCTGAGGAATTTGGGGTGGGACAGGGCTATCATGGCTGGAGCATCTAAGATAAAGTCTTGTTAAGGTCCCTGATGGTGGAAATGAGCAAAGGTATGCCTTGCATTTCTACTTCCTCCCCCTTGGGCTCCAATATTGGAACTGAGCCACTTGAGACTCGGTTTGAGGGACTCCCAGGACCCTCCTTATCCCTGCACTCAGTAACCTCAGATGGCCTGGGCTTTGGAGCTGACACGGCTCTGACCAGCTCCCCAGCTGAGGAGAAATCTGCCCACTCTTCTTCTGGGTTGGGGTGTGTGAAGGTAGTCCTTGTGACCCAAGAGCCCCTTGACGTGCTGCCCCAGAGGACCCACAATATTCCTTGTGTCCCTGTGCTTCCTGACCAACACCCACATCCATGAGACCAAAACCAGGTTCAGGGGCATAGCTGGCCAAGCTGGGCTGTGCTGTCAGGTGCCTGCTGCAGAGAGCATTTGGGGGGCTGCCTGCTGCTCAGTTCCAGGGGCTGCTCCTCCTGCACCCGGGCCCTTTGGAGTGCTGGTGCGAGACCGTGTGCTTCGGGGAGGCTTGGCTGCAGGAGACTCACAGGCACCCAGAGAGCCTGAGGGAGCATGTGTGATGCTGTGAGATGAGGCCACTGGTTTGCCAGTGGGTGTATGTATGTGAGAAGGGAAGAGAGAGGGGGAGAGTGAAGGAGAACACATGGATGCCCAGGGATGTGTGAATGAGACAAAATTTGCACGTAGCTGTGCATGCACGGCTCGAGCAGGAGCGTGTGCGTAGCATAGGAAAGGCAGGGGGGATGCTTGGGATTCAGAGCAAGCGCCTGCGGTGCATGACGGTGCAGGAATGTCTCGGTGGATACGAGCCTGCACAAAGATGGTGCAGAGCAGAGATCCCTCCTGCTCGTGCCTGGAGTGTGCGAGTCGGCGCCGGGAGAGCGCTCCTGTGTACGTGAGAGGGTGTTTTTTCAATAGGATATGACTCTTTCTTGAACTCACCTGTTAGCAGCCTTCCCCTCCCCATCCCTCTCCCCCCACAGCAAATATCTGCTGGCTTAATTTCCCTTCAGATGTTTATTACATCGTGGAGATAATCATGCAGCAAAATACCTCTGGGTGCCACGAGCAACACCAGATTGTCTTATAGCAACGTGTAAATTTCTCTGGCTTCTTTTTTTTCCCCTGCACACAAAGAGATGTGAGATATTAAAGTCATCTCTCTCCCTGGAGCTAGTGGTGTAGCAGGGCAGGGAAGGCAGCGTGTGGAGCTCAGAGGAATGGGCTCCAGACTGAGACAGCGAGAACCTGGGGCCAAAAAAAATAACAAACTACCGTGCCGGGAACTCCTCTCTTCTTATCTCTTGCCGAGGAGGCAGGAATTTCTGTCCCCATTCCTCACGCGATATTAAAGCCACATTATACAGGTTGCTGCAGCATTAGTAATTTTAAATTAATTTATCATTCAAATTAGCACACTTTTTATTTTGTCAGAATGAGCTGCTACTCCCTCACTAGATTTGTTCCTTGATACCCAGCCAAAGAGGAGGATGGCAAGTTATGCTCCACCCATTTCCTCTCCTTCATAAAAGGAGCAGCCCCGAGTGCCAGCTTAGTCTCTCTTGCAGCTCGCAGAAAATAAAGACCCGTCGGCTCACTCGCCCCTCCTGCAGTTTTACCTTTTCTACCTTTTTTTTTCTTTTGTTTTTCCTTTCTTGTTGCAACAGAGTGCGGGAGACAGCACCAGTGGCTCCACTTTGAGGCTTGTCAAGGCTCAGCGCACGCACACAAACACACACTCACAACCCAGAGCAAAAACATTTGCTCTCACCTGTCTCCAAACCCAAAGCAAACCTCCCGATCAAGCCAACTCTTGGAACGAGAAGGCACCCGAGCCAGAATCTAATGTAAGGGGAAGAAATTCAGTGCACACTGGCAACTTTTCTCTAAAAAGCGAGTGGCAAAAAGGAAGGAAAGGAGCATTTTAAGAAGAGGACAACTTAAGGAAGAAGATTTCATTTTTTGGATTTCACTCCAAACTTTGGAAAAGTTTTTTTTTCCTTTTAGTTACTATTCTGTGCACCTTCTTCTAAGAACATTGAGACATTGTTACCTGCATGTAAAAGCTTTTACAGGTACATATTTTTTTTAAAAGGGAAGAAAACCAAGAGGAAACCAAGAGGGATGTGGACCACCTAGCCAAAGGCACCACTGAAGCATCCCTTGCGCCAAGGGGGACCCAGACTCTGGATGTGCATAATTCCGAGGGACTGCATTTTTTTCCCACCGGGCTTATGAGATAGCGCAGAGGCAGGCGAGTCACCGAGAATTACTTGTCTCCCCTCACCACCAGCACCAGCACCTCCACGTCCTCCTCCAAGGGCTCCCGCGGCTCTCCCACCTCCTCCCGGCTCGCAGG